CCTAACTTTGAATGCTTTATGTTTGTAGTACTTTGAATAAAATATTTAAAATGCTATTTGAAAAGTAAAACAGCTTAAAAAAAGCTCAGTTCCTCAATTGTCTGACGACTGAATACCAGCTGAAATGAACTTACCCAACAATGTAACTATAGAGACGTTGCTGTCTTGTGATGGAGCTTCATGTCCATCTATCTGCTGAGAGTACTTACACTGAACTTTAATCTCAGTATCTGCACTGTGATTCCCAGTCTGACGGAGATCATCCCAGGAATAGAAGCGCAGACATTCTGAGGTATTCTGATCAAACGCCTCCCCCCCTATCTGTAAATGGCACCTGGAGATGGATGGATGCACCAAACAGTGCAGCTCTGCTGTGTCTCCCTTCCTGATGACATTTGGCTTTACAGTCAGCTGGGGGGCTTTCAGCTCACCTACAGGTTGTAAGAACGTTAAATATTAAAGATCAGTTTAAGATCTCATACAATGTAACAATCATGTAGAGTTATTGGAAACTTACCTAAGACCTTCACTTCCATCATCTGACTTCGCTCTGAATGCTGATCACCGACACTGTAGGCACAGCTTAGCCTTACGATAGTGTACTGCGCCTTGTCTGTTCTTCCACCGAGAAGCTCTTCCCCAGTCACATGGAATTCACACAGTCCTGACCTGACTAATTCAGTCTTCATGGGGCTCTGCTGTCCATCTAGATGCAGTGAACACTGTAATGGTGTCTTATCCTCAGGGACGTCACAGGTAACTTGGAGAGTCCCCTTCTCAGTCAGCAAAGTTTTAGTCAGGCTTATTCCTGGCTTTGGTAATTCATCTGGATTTTAAAATTACATATGTATTAATATGGGCAGTGTTATATTTTGCTTTAAAATCAAGCAGTGACTGGATAATTTTCTGTGAAAACTCTTTGCTAAATATCTGGCAGAAGTATACACTAATAACAATGTTACATCAAAGAACTCATCTGAGTGCTGAGAGATTAGGAGCTGAACAGTGATATATATAAGTAGAGAGTCCATCTCAGCCTTGATAACCAGAATGCAAAGTTTAATTCTGCAAATTTCCTGCAGTATCTCCCTTGTACATTGATTGTTGAGTTTGCTGATTTTAATGCAGGTCTCTCAGTTATACTTAACAGAACAGAGATCCTTTAGTCACCCCCATGGGAGATTCTCTTTTTGCATATCCCATCTTACTCTCCATGAGACACACATACAGGTGAGAGTGAGTGTGGGGGTCACAGCGCAGGGTCATCCAGTGCCCAACACCCCGGGATTATGTGGGGTTTGGGGTCTGGCTCAAGGGCCCGACACTGGCACTGCGCTACCAGGCACAGGATTCGCAAACACAGAGACACACATGGCCTGGTTATATATACAGTATATACTGTACATTATAACGTGCATATTTCATAATATCAACAGACTTCTTTCTCAGATTTAATAAATGTGTCCCTTCAACTGAATAACAGAATTCTAATTAGTTACCTGTTTTATGCTGGAAGTCAAACCTAACATCAAAATTGAACTGTAATTTAAAAAAAGCAAAGAATAACCATGCTTGTGTCTACACTCACCATCATCACTTTTGTACGCAACAAACCCTGAAAATTAAATGAAGTGAAGAGCTAATGGCAAACATCACAATCTGTACAATATGTAAAGGGAACAAGCTAATGAAAAAGGAATTCAGCAATTCTGTTCAGAATATCCGCTTCCAAAAACCAGCAGTGACAGACCCTGAGCTCCAGTGAACCATCTACAAGAAGAAAAATGCAGCTACTTACATCCAGTGAGAAGGATAATCTGTGTATAGAGACAGAAGGCAGGCAGCAACATGTTGACAGCAATCAGCCAAATGTGAATGTGGAGAAGCAAAAGTTAAAAGTTAAATTGAGCATTTGGTAATGAGGAAGTTGACTGCCCCCCCTGTTTCCTCCTCAGCGTAGCCTTAACGAGAAATGTACAGTATGTTCATCACTTGTCTTACTTCCTGTTCCTGCCCTGATGTGGTTCATTCCAGCTGCGTCTTGTTTGCACTCTTATTAGTCCCTGTATAAAGTGCTTCTTGTCATTAAGGAGAATCCCCTGGTGATGTAGACGGCAGTCCTCTGGGCTGCTCCATGACAGAAACCAGAAACAGCCTGAGACCCAGTTTTGGTCGCAATTCAGTTTTGGTCAAATATGTAGTTATGGGATTTTTCCATTGTATGGTAATATATATTCCATATTCTTACATCCATACCATTGTTCTCTTCGAGTAGAACAAAGTGATTAACCAGTATTCTTACAATATTAAATTTAGCCACAAGGGGGTCATTCCATATCAAATCACCCAGAGGGTCCCTGGTCATGCTCTTAGATTTCCCTGGAAAAAAATCACTGTTGCTCCTTTACCAAACTTATGGAGAAATAACGAGTATGAGGCCTGTATCTCTAATACTTTTGAATCTACAGCCTTCTGAAATGTTACTTCATTTTATGCGTTTTGCTAGCTCAGCATTTCTGTCCATCTTCTTTGCTTCTTTGATATGGCATCTATAGCTTTGAAACTTTGTGACTATGGCTATGTTTGTCTGTAGAATTTTAAAATACAAGGTCATACTTTACATACTTTTTCTCCTACAAGGCTCTGAAAATGGCTAAAAATTCAAAGCAACAACTCCCTTTAAGAGCTTCTCATTCAGGAGGTATGGTAGAAAAATCAGTTTTTTTCTTATCATTGATGACATGACAGGCCATGTCAGCAAAAAATACCATAAAATAAAATAAAATACAAAACAATAACATTCAGGTACACTGCCTTTAATTTTCAAAATAAATTACAAAATAGTGTACCAGTTACATTAATTTGCTCTTTTTACAAAGAAAAGAAAACATTTTAGAGAAAGGGGGGCTTTCCCTGAAGCTTCGTGAAATTAAGTGGTTTGTTGTCTAGTACTTAAGATCCATCAGCATGTGGTTCCCGAAACCCTTTGTAACTAAAGTAGTTCGTTATCTCGTCTGTATATTTACCAGTGCTCTGACCCACTCGTTATTTTCTATGTTGTTTTTTATTTGAACTTTTGCCTGCTGTCCTGCCACAGAACAATCAACCAAAATAGTTAACAAAAACACATTGACACTCTTTTTTTGGACAACGTAATGATGCTGAGAATATAATAAAAGGTTAGTATTGCAATATAAAACTATAATGTCGAGCAGGGGCACCTTAAGCGGGAGGGGGCTGCAGTGTACTTTTTAGCAATTATTGCACAACACTTGGACACACATATGATATGTCAGAGTACAACACACTGCAACTACTTTGTCTAAGAATTTCACACTCACTCACACATTGCAGAACCATACTGACTGGAATTTCTGAAGACAGTATTTGTTGCGTACAAGACCTTACTGCAGCTGCCCACGTCTCGTCATCTCATGACCACCTCGACCTGCTTCCCTTCAAATTTTCCCATGCGCAAAAAACCCTATTGTGCAGTTTTCTCCCTGAATGATGGTGTGATGCAGCAGCACTGCACTATCATGGCAATGTTCTTCAGAATCACGGAAAATCAAATCACAGCCTCCAACTTTCTAAGACAAAGGTAGCAGGTTCCTCATAACATGGGCGCATCAACAAAATGTTACCCAACATTCAACATGGCGTAACGTCAGCTTTGCATTCTTTTATTATATTGTAATCCAACAGTAATCCTGATTTATTACAAATATAACTGTAATCAGATCACATTTCTTTTTCTCAGTAACTGTAAAGGAATACAGTTACTTATTTTTTGTATAGCTTGAGGGAAGAAGCTTCTTCTCTCTCTGTGTTTGCCTTTAGGGAACGAAATCACTTCTCTGACCTCAGCAGGGAGAAGAGTCCATTGTTGGGATAGCTGGGGTCTTTCATGATCTTCCTGGCTTTGGTTCAGCATCGTTTGGTGTAGAGAGACTGCAGGTCAGGGAGCTCGGTGTTAATGATGCGCGCGGCTGATCGCACCACTTTCTGGAGAACGCGTCTGTCCTGCATTGTGCTGTTCCCGAACCAGGTGGAGATGTTTCCTGTCAGGATACTTTCAATGGTGCAGGAGTACAAATTGCTTACCACCCTCTGAGGCAGGCAGAAATCTCTGAGGCACCTCAGATGGAACAGATGCTCAGGGGCCTTCTTAGGCAGAGAGCTGGCGTGCTGAGACCATGACAAATCCAGTGTGATGTGGACGCCCAGGTACCGGAAACTGTCCAAAAAATATTACATAGGTCACAGTTTCAGAATTGCCTCATAGACTTATTTCAATACTACCCCTTCATACATTACTCCAAAATAGCAGCTATTCAGAGCTACAGGAATGAGCCATGCATGAGAACTGACTAAACATATTTGATAACAGTGCCCTGGGGCTTTCTTATGATTTATGCTCTGAAGATGAAGCTCATGCATCCACCACCTTCTGCAGCTGCCAGTTTGCACTGGCAGAGCTACCTGGCTCTCTGTTTCCTGTTTGCACAAGATCCTGCAAAATGCTTTTGACAAAATACACGCCTGATTGCGATAACGTCCATGTCGCCGGAGTTTCCTCAGTCTTTTTTTGTTGACTTCCTCTTTTAACAATTTTTCTGACATTGTGAAGTTGCCGTTTTAAAGTGCAATAACTTCAATCTTAAATCTATTCAGTATATATATGAGCCAATCTGTAATCAAGATTACATTTCATATCAACCAAAAAGTTAACAAATCAGTGTACTTTTTTGCTAAATAGTGAAGTTGTTTCCACAACATACCCCCATAATGTGTTAAATGCATGAGTTGCCAAGCTTGAGGCTCTGATGATTTTTGAGAAAAAAAAGTTGTATCATAAAAGACATGAATGAGATATTACACATTTGATAAAACAGTTCTTGAGTCTCTTCACCGGGGGTTTTGAGGTTGTCTGTCTATCTGATTTGAAAACCTGAAGTTTGAACTTGATAATAGATTTTCTGAGGGCTGATATCATCAAGGATGAATATTTTTTTCAACATAAATCCACATTACACTGAATTTAGAGTTATACAACATCCTTATCTAAGGCCTCCCTTTCTAGAAATGTCCCCCATCATTTTTATTGCAGTTCAGCCAACATTTAAAAGATTTATGACACGTAAATCACATGTAACAGTTGACAGGAGTAAAAGAATTGACCGGACATGTTAGAAGAAAAAGAAAAACCTTTATTTAAGATAAAAAATTAAAAACGATGCATTTCTCTTAGCACAGCCTCCCAGTGACACTGAGCTCTATGTGTCTCCTGATGACACTGAACCCCAAACAAAAAAACCCAGAATAACCCAAGAAGTAAAAAGCCTAGGAGTGATTTTTGATTCTGATTTTAATTTCAAAGCTCATGTGCAGGCAGGACTGCATCTACATGGTGGCCGGGGGCGGCACCAGCCCTCTTGGAACCTGAACGGCCCCCACATGAGTTTTGTAATTGGATTTTGTTCGTAACATCTACCTAGCAGGTTAATTCGATTTATATAATAGTCAACAAGAACTGTTAACATGCTCTATATTTTTTAATATGAACAAAAAGCTGGTGTATGGTTTGATACAGTCTATGATAAATTTTAAGTGAATTACCAAAGATAACAGATAAAAATATAACATCATACAAAAGTACAAACATTTTACTTTATACATTTGAGTAACTGTGATATAATGTACTATATAAATGTTAGTCACTAGTGCTCTACCGAAGAATGCAGTAATTCAGTTGCAATCAATTCACAATTCTGCTGCACAATTGCTGATTAAGACCAAAGGGGGAGCATACATTATGGATGTTTTGAAATCCTTACACTGGTTACCTGTTAGTTTTCATATTGGTTTTAAAACTCTTTTGTTAGTTTATAAGGCACTACATGGCCTTGCATCAGACCACCTCTCACAAACGCTCCTGGCTTATGACCCAGGAAAGCCCCTCAGCTACTCTCTCTTAGCTGTCCCTCAAAGCAGAACAGAAACATCTGGTGATGCTGCTTTAGCAGCTGGAAAAGCCTTCCTGAGGAATGGAGAGGTGCTGACTATACTGACACCTTCAAACATAAATTAAAAATCCATTTGGGCTGCCTTCATGCAGTGCTTTACATTCTTATGGTTTCAGTATCTATACCTATTTATTTCTTATTTGATAATTTCAGTATTATATTATTTGTTTGGGACACTTGCTTAATTCACTAAAAATACTGCAATGTATTGATTTTATGACAAAAACCATTAATTTATTTATTCACTTATTTACAAAAAATATGTATTCGTCTCAACATTTGAATTCTACAAGAGCTGTTCTGCATTAAAAAGTTAAATGACAAGCAGCCTCACTGGGTGCTTTTTAATTAGTGACACCTTTGTAATAATATAAAACACCAAAGATTTGTGTTTAGTATCCCTTTGGGAGCCAGTGATTGCAACTGCAAATAACAGCAAAACGGCAAGAACAGAAATGAATGAGGCAGTCAAAAAATATGGTGCTTAATAAAAAGTAAATGTGCGAAAGACGTGCAGATATGTCAAACATTGCTTGGTTTTTGTTATGAAAGCAACAAATTTTTACAAACATTTTTACAGAATTCAGCAAGTGTCCCAAGACGTTCTGTGAGCACTGTACTGTATACAGTATGTATAGGAGTGTATTAGGAACTGCAAAAATAACAAAGAAAGCAGCACAAATCCGGCGCGTCTGTGACACTGGCTTCAGTCGTCACCTTCCACCATCCGGGCTGTGAGCTCAAAGCCGCTCTCGGTACTCAGAGCGTGGAGCTGCTTGGGCTGAGTCCCTCTCTGCTGGGAAGCTGCATTCCCTTAGGAAAACACACAGAGATCTGATATATTAAACAGGCAGGACAGGGTGCCAATCCATAGCAGTATGTATGCACAGGATGTATATGTAGGACTATTATTACTATTTTGCGAATAGTAGCAGCGTTAATGGTAAACATAATAGAAATACAAGGTGTTGCTAACAAAGTCCTTTAAGGGTGGTGTCCATACAGCAGAGTCCATACTGCAGTGTCCATACAGCAGAGTCCATA